ACGTGGTTCCATGGTCAGCAACGTGGTTCCATGGTCAGCAACGTGGTTCCATGGTCAGCAACGTGGTTCCATGGTCAGCATGGTTGCCTCACCCCACTGGAGATGGGGTTTGAGTCTCAACCCCACAGTATAGTGGCAAGATTTCTTCTTTGTCTCAAATATTACCTCTGCCCTCTGGCTCACCTATGTCTAATTTATTTCTTCTAGTGAATTTTAGGAGAAACATATCAGACGAAATAGAAACTAAAATGATGCACAAATGAGAATCACAATTTTGTTCAAAGCTGTTGAAGAATAAGTTATGAGTAGTAAAAATTTCCTCTGGCTGAGGCTTCCAGACCACTAAACTCTATGGAATCTCTAATAAATTTGCCAATTAATCATTTTGTGTTGTAATGCAACAATGAGGTAGACCCTAGTTCATAAAAAGTAGGGTTTTGTGTGTTCAGTAATTTAGGAGCGTTCTGTATTGACAACCATTGTCAATGTATTTAATTAGGAACTACGCAATAAAATAGTAATCAATGTTTAGCTCACTCTTATTTGAATTGCCATTATATACTCCAAAATATTATATTATTATATACAATTCTCCAGTAATATTCCCAGCAGATTATTATTACAGATAATTTCCAAATATAATAGCTGGGAACAGTAATATAAATTCTCATGACTGAGGTTAACTCCAGCTGTAGTACAATATACAGGTTTCCCCCACTATCAAAAAGTAGAGTGTTCCTATGAAACCTTTCATATGCAAAAATGGCGTAAAGTGAACATGCAACTACCATTAATTTATATGGGAAAACATTTTGAGTGTTTCCTGACCCAATAAATAACCGATCAAACTATACCAAATAAAACGTAAAACCTAAATCGACGCTAACACATACTAAAAGCAGGACTGATATAAATAATGTCTGTACCTTAGGGCACGTCTTGCTAACAGATGCAGCAAATAAACCGAAATGAAGCACCGTTGCTCACAGACACAGTTCAAACCTACGGCAGCTTGATGCTGAGATGCTGACTGTAGTTCCTGGGGAAGCGGCTTGCAAAACAAATGCTGAGTGCTATTTTCGCTTTTTTTCCGTATAAGCAAAAATCCTCTTCGGATTTCTTTTGGTTAGCAAAAATAGATACTAATGTAGGTCTTTTGTAAAAGTGGAGTAAAGCAAACTTTCAAAAAGCTGGAGGTGCCTTTACATGGACAGTATAATGAATGAACGCTTCTATGACAGTCCCACAGATTACTGGGCCTCTTCCCTGCTAATGACTCAGGTGATAATGAGGAAAATACTAGGATTGCTTTGTTTAGGATGAAATACACGTGAAATGTGGTCAGTAGTTTACTGGGGGTTTGACACATAGCTAAAAATGCGATCTGTGTAACTGACAAAGTACTGTATTTAAATGTTCAAATGTATCTGCTAACATCACAAAGTCAACAGGGAGGGCTTTCCTGATGCACACTGCTCTCAGATGGTCTTCTTTGCAATCAGTTGTGGTCCCTCACTCTCCCTGTGCTCTGTTCACTTGGATCCCTGTGGCGACAGAGGTCAGCTGGAGAAGGATGTCATGTCAGATCAGCTCGTCCTGGCAGGCGGAGGCTCGGGGCGTCTTGGGGCTGCACCTCGTCAGCATAGAGATCTGCGTGGCAAAGTTGTTGCCATTGGTTGGGTGCTGGTACTTCACATCGGCACCCAGGAACCTCTCCAGGCGCCACCTCCTCCACTTCCTCCTGATCTCTGCCTGTACCTGGAGTAGCAAACGAGCAGGGGGGTCGAACTCAGTGTTAGTGCTGCAGAAAAACCCTTTGGCACTGTTATAATGTCACATATAAAAGTACATTTGACTTTCTGTAGATAACACAACATATGTGGGAAATTTTAAATTCTGCATTTAAAAGTATAAATACCTCTCCATTCAGGAAACAATATAGCACTGCTACCACAAAACCCTAAAACAGGAAATAAAAGTTGCAACATTAGAACAATTTTGACAAGAACCATCCACTCACTGTACTCAACAGATAAATGAGATGAAATTAAGTCAAGGCAATTTTTAATAGAATCAATCAATCAATTAATAATCAACGCCAGGAGACTGGACACATGATGGATGACAGGCAAAACCAACAGCGAGCTGTCATCCTGCTGGATTCCCTGAAGCCAAGGAAGAGAATGAAAGTGGTAAATGAAATGTAAGAACGCTATATTAGTCCAGCAAACTTGCCCAAGAGTTTGACCACTACAAGCTGGACATCCTTGGAGTAAGCGAGGTACGATGGACAACAGAAAAGAGGAAATTACACTCAGGCCACATCATACTGTATTGTGGAAGACCAGACAACCAACACACAGGAGTTGCCCTCATAATTAGCAGAAGAATGGAGAAGACACTTCTAGTGGATGCCTTTTGGACTGAGACTTCTCAAGACTAGATTCAATTCAAAGTACACCAAGCTGACAGCTGTGGTATGTTATGCACTGACAGAAGACACTGATGAAGATCTAATAATGATTTTCACAAACAAGCTGCAATAGAGGAAGTGAAGCTGCATGACATGCTGCTGATCACTGGAGACCTGAACGCCAAAGCTGGGGGCTGTTGACACAAGGAGAGATCGAGTGATGGGAAGCCATGGCTGTGATACCGTCAATGACAATGGAACATCTGTGTGAGTTATGCCAGGGAAATGACCTGATCGTAGGAGTGACTTTTTTCCAACATAAGAACATAAGAACCTGAAAAATGGTCAAAATAATAGGTTTTTATTACACTGTGGATTCGATTAACAAGGTAAAAGGAAGACCAGCATTCCAAGCTTTACAGCTCGGATTTGGAAACCCAAGAATAACAACTATCTGAGCCTTGATGTAAAGATCTGTCCTGGTGCTGGCTGGTACGCCCTGTGGCCTAGTCTGGGGGGAGGGGGGGGGGGTCTGCACAATTAGGTTCTGATAAGAGTGAAACAAAGAGTGCTGGTGTTTTAAGAATCCAACATGCACCCGCCCCCTTTCTCACACACAGTACCTCGAAGAGAGAAGGACCTGTTTTAAGATTTGCCTATTGTGTGTCTTGTCTAAATGTTTACAATATGTCAGTATAAATATTTAGATATGTTATGTCTGTATGTTCCTTTAAATAATTTTGTTACCCTCACAAAGGTATCATTATTATATTAAGTGTAATATCTGTTGTGTGTTAGATGAAGAAATAAATGCATGCATTTTATACACCTTATATCTGTTTCATTGAATGCCTATAATTAAGTTACTTAACTGGTGCGAAATCATGCTTTAAGTCCCAAATTTGTCCCGAAGTACTGGGAGACTCACTCTACAGCCGTAAGCAGAGTTTTGCTATAGAGTTGCTACATTACCTGGTGAGTTATGTTCATGAGACGAAGGTTCTAACCCAGGTTAAGTAGTGATATGGTAATTAATAATTTCCATTCATTTCCTGTAACTAAATCTTCCAGTAACTGACTAATTCGGACTTCCATAATATTGTTTGTTGGAGAAACACACCATTCGGGCATAATTAATAAATCAATCAATCAATTATTAAATTTCCCTACATATTGATAGAGATACAAATTATTTGAACAAATTTTTCCAACAATATCCAGAGAGTCAGAGAAGAATGCACGGTGGAAAGAGCACTTCAAGACCACCCTGAACAGACAGGATCCCTCTGCCATGTTAGAGATGTAACCAGCAGAAAAGGATCTAGACATTAATACAGAACCACCAGTACTAGAGGAGGTGAAGAAGGCAATCAAAGCAATGAAAAGTGGAAAGCCAGGAGTGGACAGTGTAACATCAGACATGCTATAGGCAGAGGAGACAGACGCCACAGCTGCTGACCAAAGTCTTAACATACATGGGAGAGAGTGTCAATACCAGAAGATTGATTGATCAGACTTATAGTGAAGCTGGCGAAAAAGGGGGCCTCCCAGAGTGTAACAACTGGCAAGGTATCACACTGATGTCCATCAGCAAGATCATCCACAACAGACTGACAGTCACACTGGACACACTGGATATCACAGAAGAGCTGGCAGGTCCTGATTAGATCACGCTACGACAGATCCTGGAGCAGAGCAAAGAATGGAATGCAGCCCTGTATGCCAACTTCGTGGGAAAAGCATTCAGTGGCATCCATCAGGAGCCTCTGTGGAAAATACTTTGTCACTGTGGAATCCCACCAAAGACACACAACACTGGGAAGATGCTGTATAGAGGTTTTTTGGCACATGTACTGTAGTCTGCAACAACGAATTGAGTGATTCCTGAGTGGTTAAATGGGAGGAGGGGGGATTCAGACCGTTCATAAAACTTAGTTTATTTAAGCCACAACAATTGCAATGCCAAAAAAAATAGGTTAGATAATACAGTATTAATGAGATTTCCAGTATAAACCACACCCACTTCTGGTCTTCTATCCAATTACAGATAATGACATCGCTGTGCACCCAGTGTGAAGAGGAATTTTTATTATGTATTATTATTATTGTTATTATGTTAATCATAATTTTGATAGGGTGCTTAACACTGTCTTTGCTGTGTTAATAATACTGTCAGGGTCAGCACTCATCCCACCCTACCTTTTTTATGTCCTCCACATTTCGCCAGCAGGTGTCGCTGGCCATCCTGGCCTCCTCCCTGTTGTCCTTCAAGTCCTTAGTGTGTTTCCCCAGCCCCCTGCCTGCCACATAGCTTTATAGGCCATGTGTTTGAGGCCAGCTTCCTTTGTTTATTTGTATTTATTAGATTTTTGTTCCCCAGTGTTTCTTTTCTATTAGTCTTCTTGTTCCTAGTTTGTGGTTATATATTACTTGTCTTTGTTACTTTCCCAGTGTTACATTCTGTTTCCTAGTTTCCCTGTTAGTCTCTTAGTTCTCTGATCAAGTTACTGTGTGTTGTAAGTTACTGTGTGTTGCTGCTGCTGTCCTGTTTAGTTCTGCTCCCTGTGTCGCTCTTGTGTCCCCTCATTGTTACCTTTTTGATATTACTTGTTCTTGTTTCCCCCATTTGCCTTTGACCCCACATGGTCATTCTGTTTTGTAGTTTACTCAGTGTGTTCAGTTTCCCCAATGAACCTCTCTGCTGTCTTGGAGCCGCAAAGTGAATCATTGCCTACTTTACTGCCTACACCATGTTCTGCCATCATGACCCTAGTAATGCTTCCTCTTGAGTTCTTCGGCATTATAGGCTCTAGGTGTTAATTTCAAGACAATCCAGGAATACTGCATGGAATCTCCGTCTGATTAAATGCTCATAATTAAGGAATCCAGGAATGCTGTCTTACAAGCACAATAAGACTAAACATCACCATCTTCCATTAATGGAGCAGATGCGAGCTATTTTTTAATTGAACTCAGCCAATTAATTCTCAATTACATATAATAAAAACTATGAGCATAATTAATTACAGCACATTAAGAATCTGTAAGGCAAAAGCCAACTTACCATGATGCATTTCCTTTAATTTTTACTCACATTTAAATAAAGCTCTCAGTTCTTCTATATTTTTTAGATATAGAGGTAAGTGATCAACCAAGGAATTGAGGTTACACACTTTAATTTGATTTGAGACATCTGACCAGCAAATTAATTTCTGACAAAAAGACATGTACTGGCATTTGACTACGCACCTGAAATGAGCCCAAAATAAGGTCAAACACCAGTCTCAATTCAGTCTTCACATTGTCAGGAATGAACGCGAAGATGATGTAATTGATTCCAAAGAGTGGAATCAGGAGCAAAGTTGATTTTGCCAACCTCCTGCAAACAGACGAACAACACCAGGAAGCTGTGTTTAACTTCATGAGTCTCATAGGCATTCATAGGTGCTACAAGTCATCCCTTTACAAACTGCTCAGAAACTATCAATGTTTATTTGACAAGGTAGCATCCTTTTTAAATTTCCCAGCTGTCACGCCCCGCTCCGTCCGCTCCCGATGTGTGCCACGCCCACCTCATTACCTCCTGTTTTGCCCTGATTGTTCTAACCTGTGGCTCGTTGTCCGTGGCTTGTCTAGTGTATTTAGTCCTTGTCAGAGTCAGTCATCCCCAGATCAGTCATTGTTGTATTGTTGAGTATTGTCCATCTGTCGTGCAATAAACCCACGTATACCCGAAGTTCTGGCTGCCATTCGCCTGCTTCCCTGCTCGCCGTCTCCGAGCGTGACAGACGGACAATACTCGACAATACATCGGGAGCGGACGGAGCGGGGCGTGACACCAGCTTATTGCTTTGGAAATTTTGCCACTTAAAAACTCATGAGTTCTGTTACACATTGACTTCAAATGAAAAGTTACTGTAACTTTAAGAAAACCAAGCAGTTCATAAAGGCACAAAACACAAATTTTCATTTCTCAAACATGGCTGGATGTAACAGCAGGCTTACGAATATTGATGGGACTCATTCCGTCCTATATCAGGACAATTTATCTTCTGTCGAAGGATTCGGACAATGCAAATAAATAGAATGAAGTTCATCTGTAGAAAAAAAAACAGCAAAAGTAAGAGGTCTCAGAATTACATTTGCAGGTTAAGACCTCAGTGTGGAAGGAGAAAATTATCATATTATAAAATATAGCTGTCAAAGAAACATAACCCTGGAAAAACTGCATGTCTGTATAAAAAACTACACAGCCTTTTCACAAAAAAGCCATTATCACAATGTTGAATTTGGTGGGTACAAAAGTATTGAAATGCATTTCATATGTCCCATTCATATTTTACAATGTATTACACATCCTTTGTACAATACATTCCTACATAATAAATTAAATTAATGATGTGGTTAATTTACCTCCTTCTGAAGATAACCATAGGAGCTGTTAAATATGAGAGGCTGCTTTACGGGGGACAGAATAAAATCCATGGACCATAAAATCCAGTCTAAAGCCTCACTACAGGAAAATGGATTGGCAGACTTTATCCCTGCAGCTTGAAGTTCTAGACCACTGGCAAACAGAGCAATACTGAAAGATTTGATATTATAATTACGGGGTATAAGTTGCTTCCCTGAACACAAGAAAAGGTCACTACTGAAAGTGCATACATATCTGACTGGGTCTTTCCATTGCAACTTCAACCTGTTACTGCTTTTGCACCCACATTGCAAAACCAAACCATCTGTACGTTTTTTTTTTATTCATTTATTTAGCATATACTTTTATGCAATTAAAAAAGCAGTGAGTCAGTCCCTGGAGTCACTCGGGGTTAATGGTGAAGCCACACCGCTAACCCTGAGATTTGAACCAGCGACTTTCCAATCAAAAGGCACAGTAGCTTAACTGCCGAGCCACACACCACCCTCACCTGAATGGTGAGACCTACAAATAAAAAAATATCTTGCACATGGAAGTACCTGCTGGTTTTAGCTCACTATTATAAAACTAGTAGTATTACAGTAATTATCCATCCATCCATCTGACACTGCACCGATCTTCCTGTCGATCTCCCACTCCCTTCTGCCCTCACTCCTGAATAAGACTTGGAGGTGTTGATCCTTATCCCAGCTGCTTCATACTCAGCTGCAAACCCCCTCCCACTGCATGCTGCAGGTCACAGCCCAATGATGCCAACAGGACCAAATCATCTGCAAAAGACGTGATCCTGAGGTCACCAAACTGCATCCCCTTCACTCCTTAGCTATGCCTACAGTGGACGCCACACCCCATAGTCCTGAAGCAGCAGGAGTCCCCAAACTCCAAGCAATGTTGAAGAGGTGTGTCAGCCAAGACAGCCCAAAAACATCAAGAGCTTTCAAGGACTCAGGGCAGATCTCATCTACCCCCGGAGCCCCACCACCGAAGAGATTTTTGACTACTTCAGTGACCCAATGGGTAAGTCTTCCTCTGAGTCTTCCTACTCTACTTTCTCCAAGGAAGGAGTATCAGTGGGATTCTGGAGGTCCTTGAAATACTCCTTCCATGATGTGACTATTTCCACATTTGAGGTCAACAGTTCTCCATCTCAGGGTGGTGCAGTGGTTAGCACTGGTGCCTCTGGTACTTCTCAACAGGTATTTCTCAAGTATGATCAGAAATAACAATAACCCGAGAATTCTTTTTCGCACAATTAATCAGCTTTTACATTTTTCCCCCTCATCAAATGGGCCTATCAATGCATCTCTGTTTATTTGTGAAGAATTTGCTACATTTTTTAATACAAAAATTACTGATATTCGATCTAGTATATCCAAGACATTAGTTCCAATTCAGGATTCTGCACCTTTTAGTCCTCAATATACAATGAACTCTTTTAATAAAATAAACAAAGTTGAGTTACATAAAATATTAAGTTGTTTAGGTAATGCCGCATGTGTTCTTGATCCTATTCCTACTTCTTTTTTTAAAGAAGTTATTGAAAATATACTTTTAACGGTTCTCGATATTGTAAATCACTCATTAGCAACAGGCGTTTTCCCCGAAACACTTAAAACAGCAGTTGTTAAGCCCCAACTTAAGAAGCATAACTTGGATAGTTCTATACTCAGTAACTATAGACCCATCTCCAATCTACCTCTCATGAGCAAAATTTTAGAAAAAGCAGTTTTTAAACAGATAAATGACTTCCTCATGGGAAA